ATCTGGAATGAGAGCTTTAATTTCACCAGGTGACAGAGCCACCTCCAACATACTTGATTTATCCATATTAATCTTGAACCCAGTAGCAAATTGGAAGCAACTGACAAAAGTTTTGAGGTTTTTGGCTTCAGTACTGGTGGCATCCAGGAAGACCAACGTGTCATCCGTGTACTGTAAGTGGGAGATTATGGGCCCCTGTCTACTAGTTTTGAATTCAGATAGGAGGCCTGCTTGGTAGACCCGAGATAATGATCGACTGAAGACTTCAGCCACTATGTCGAAGAGGAAGGGGGAAAGTGGGTCTCCTTGTCTGAGACCCCTCGAGGAGGGGAAGTAGCCAACAGGGTTGCCATTGATGAGGATAGAGAAGTGAGGGTTTGAATAGCAACTGCTCATCCACTTCCTCCATCTCTCCCCAAAGCCCATTCTAAGCATTGTCTCGTTCAGGACTGACGAATCCACATGGTCCTATGCCTTTTCCCAATCTATTTTGAAGATGAGACCTAGTGTGTGATACAATATTTTTCGAACAACTTGCACTACAGGAGGCAAGTTATACACAATACTAATTAATGGTGGGAGCAATCAATATATTGTGTCAAGAGAGAGGGTGGATAAACTTCAATTGAAGGAGCACAGGCACCAACGTCCATATCAAATCCAACGGTTCAAGAAAGGATGTACGGTACTAGTTCTTACTCGATATTTAATCTCTTATTCTATTAGTGCTAATTTGAAAGAAGAAATATGGTCTGATGTAGCACTCATGGATGCATGTCACATATTACATGGTAGGCCATAGCTTTATGATCATGATATGATACATAAAATTAGACCAAACACTCATTTTTTTGTCAAGGACGGCATTAATATTACACTCAACTCTTTGAAGCAACTTCCTACACCCACATCCACTAAAGAGGCGAGTCCAAAGTTGCTTAATGTGAAAAAATTAAAGGGGGGCAACAAGGATATAGACGTGATTTATGTGTTGCTTGTATTGCAAAAGAAAATTTTGCACCCACTACAATTTCTAAGTCTCTTGAGCCTCTATTTGAGAAGTATAAAGACTTGATACCAGGATAATTGCCTGATGATCTTCTCCCAATGAGAAATATCCAAGCATTAAATTGACTTGGTTCCTATTTCTAGCCTACCAAATTTGGCCCATTACAAAATGAGACCCATAGAACATGAGGAGTTGCACAGACAAGTTGTTGATTTACTTAATAAGGGATTGATTCGAGAAAGCATGTCACCATGTGTCGTCCCTGCATTAC